TTTATACTATATTGTAGTTTATTGTGTGCAATAGCATTACGTCTTTTAAAAAGTACATACCTTAATTAAAAAATACTTTATTGCTAAAAAATGCTAACCAGCATCTGAGCCTTCACTGAGTCACAACCTTCTTGCTGGTGGAGGGTCATGGTAAAAACAGCCATATCTGAGAAGCACAATTAAGTGAAGTGTGATCAAACGAGGTATCCCTGTATCAATGACCAAAAAGTGTCTAGATGGACACACACAGAACTAACAACACTGGTCACCTGGCGGAGTGGGGGCGGGGCATGAAAAGGGAGAGTCGCTGTTACACTGTATACTTCTGTATTCTTTATACTTTTTACAAGAATGTTCTATATGTATTACTTCTGTAAATAAATAAAAAGCTCATAAAATTCATTTTCAAATGGTTAAATAAAAATTCAACAATAATGAAACCGGTTCCAAAATGAAAAGATCCCATTTGATAAAGAGGCCCTGAAGCCCACAGAGGCATGGACTCTGAACACGAGAAGGAACCAAAGAGGAACCATTGAGACGACTGTTTTGAGCACTGGGCAGAGGAGCCAGGGGAGATGAGAGGCGCCCAGTCACTACCTGACCTGGATGGACCCGCTTCACGTTGATGCGGTGGCTGTGATTCAAGGGCGGACCCAGGGCATGCTTCCACCTGAGCGAGCTGCCCTAGCTCCTCCTTCACCCCTCCAGGGCAGTGTTCCTGTCCGTGCAGTGACTATTGGTCCAGACGGCCTTTAAGGACTCCCTTGCTCCAGTCATCTGTAATTCTAGTTGTCTCCTTTCATCCAGTTCACTTCCCTATTACACTCTTTCCAGATTTTGCATTTTCTTAAGATCCCCGTGAGAGTGAAGACAAGACCTCTAACTCTCCGCCTGGAAAGCAGCTCCCCCTGTCATTTGTTCACTCACTCATTGATTTTTAATTTATTCACTGAGAATTGCTGATAAGTTCACGTGATTGTTCATCCATCCATTCGTTTATTCATTCCAAAAATATTCCCGGGCCAGCACTGTCTGGGGAGTGGCCTCTGAGGGTGGATCCCCAGCCCTGAGCCTCTTCCTCCAACTTTTCCACACCAATTAAGACTTCTAGGTAGACTCTGTAATTGGATCTTTGGGATGTCATCCCTGAAGCACCCCGAAGTTTCTAAGCTAGGCACATTTCGCCTTCTCCCTCGGAATTGCCTCAGGGATTCTGCAGTCCCTTGGCGCACAGGGAGCTTTGAAAGTGTCTCCTCCATCTGGCCTGCCTGCTCCTGGGAGGCTGTCGGCCAGGATGGAGCTGAGAGCTGCCTGCGTGGCTGCCCACAGTAAGTTATTGGCACCCTGTTCAGCCTTGAGCCCACCAGAATCTCCTAATTCTACCAAACCTGATACACTTCAGAGAACCCCACTGAATTCTAAGCACTTTGTCTAATTCCACCAAATTCTAAAAGCTCCATTTAATCCTATCAAGTTGCAAACGGCTGAATCCTACACAGTCTAGGCTTGTTTGCAGTTTGCAAAGCTGGGTGGGAGGGAAGCCCCAAGTCCTAGGACTCGCTGCAGAGAGGAGGCTCGGGCCTGCTTCTCTGACCTGCCTTCCCGCAGCTCCAGCCGGAGAAGGCCTCTGGTCTCAAATCTTCTGAACCATCTTCCAAGGAGCCAGGGACGTGGATCTGGAAAATCCTGAAGGTAAACTTAAAAATGGGCATGTGGGGGCCGAGGAAAGAGCCTGGGCTGGGAGTCAGGCACCCCAGGGAATTACTGGAGCTTTGGCTGCTCCCTCTAACTCACTGTGTGATGTGGGGTCAGCCCCTTCCCCTCTTTAGGCCTCAATTTCCCCATATGTAACGAGGGAGTGGCCTAGCTGATCTGTAAGACCCCTCCCAGCGCTGCCAGGGTGTCATGTAGGTTAGGAACAGCTCATATTTGGCAGCCGGCTGCTCACTCTCAACTTGTCTTAGCCCCCAGAAGTTGTAGCAAGATAGGAAGAAGTTGGCTGTGGCCAGGTAGGGGGTTTCAACTTGGCCCTCAGAAGCTGGGTGAGGGGGGGAAGGGAGGTGGCATCCCCATGGGCTGGCAGGGGTAGGCAACAGACCGGAAGTGAGGGAGAGAGGTGAGCACCATCCTAGAGGTGCTAACCCAGGGCCACGGGGCACAAAGGAGAGAGGCCTCGAGGTGACCCTGGAGGGGATAAAGGAGGGCTCCCTGGCGGAGAAGGGGAGAAGGCATTTGAACTCATTTTTAGGCAGCATTTAGCCAGGAGACGAGTGAAGGCAGAGTGGACACCATGGCTCTGCAGACAATGCTCCCTGGCCCTGCCTTTGGAAGCAGAGTTCCACAGCCACCGGCCACATCGCTTCTCCCTCCCTCCCCCACAGGCCCCATCCCACAGTGGAAGGAGAGAAGGCAGAGCAGGGAGACTCAGATCCTTAGCACTCAGGCTGGGAAGCAGACAAGACACCAAGCTGGTCTGGTGACCTTGTCCCTGCTCCGAGGTTCCTCTGTCCTCCTGGTTAGTCCTGGGCAGTTTGCTCCCTGCCCTCAGGGCTGCTCCTTCCCTGGTCACACTCCCGCAGCCAGCCGCTGCCTGGCCGTGGTCTCCATGCAGGCCCCCCCAGAAGAGTGGTCCCACCTGGCCTCTGAGGCTCTGGGCACAGGTCCAAGCGTCTGCACTGCCGGCTCTGGGTGGGGGTATGCACGTGAAAGTGAGAAGAGTGAGAGAGCCTGCTACACACGCACATACACTCACGTGAGTGACTGTACATGTGCACACATGGGCCTGTGTGTGGCGTGTACATTCACTGGCACATGTGTGTACCCGGTGTCAAACAGGTGTTTGTGTGCACATGTAGGTGGGTGAATATGTGATGACCCCATGTGAGTGTATGTATATTCCCACAGGTAGCCAATGGCTGCAGATGTTTGCTAGTGACTTTAGGGGTAAACTATAGCACGTGGTACCATGCAAAGAGGAGGCTGTGGCCTGACCCAGCCACAGGGCTGCAGGAAAGCACGAGGCTGCCTCTATGCCTCCCCCCAGCGCTGGCGAGGGGCCTGCTGCTATTGACCGTCTGTTCAATGGAGGTGCCTCTCCAGGAACCCAGTCTCAGGTATCCCAGTTGAATCTGAGGGAGCTCACAGCTCACACTCCCCTGACCCCACAATGTCTCCAGACACAGTCAAGCTGAGGCAAGACCTTCCGTCTGAGGTCCCAGGGCCAGGTCAGAGCTCTCCTTGCTGGGGAGGTGGCCCTTCATTCCCTGAGGGAGGGCCTGGAGCTCTGGACCCTGCATTTATCCTCTGTAAGAGGAGAGTGTCCACAGGGCCCACCTAGCCTGGAGCCTGGGTGGTGGAGGCCCAGTGAGACCCAGAGAGACTCCGTGTCAGAGGACTTTGTGACCCTTCAAGACAGCAAAAAGAAAGGGAAAAAAGTATGTCTATGAGAGTAATGAGCTTCCTGTCACTAGAGGTTTGCAGGATGACGCTAGGCATGGAAATTGGAGAGGATTCTCACCTGGGGATGGTTTGGACTCAGCGGCCTGGGAGCACACGTGCCCTAATTTGTTCCCCTAATGCCTAGCAGGACGCCTGGCGTGTGGTAGGAACTCAAACACTTCTTGATTCTGGAACGAATAAACACGGGAGCACTGCAAGAAGGAAACTGTCTCACTCAAGGGAGGCGTTGACAGCAGCTGGTGCTCAGCCCAGACCCAGGCTTGGGCGGTGCATCCACGGGTTTACTGACATGGTGCCAGGTGCCCGAAACAGGAAGGAAAGGTTGAGTCGTGCTCCCTCTCTGGGGAGAGCATTGTGGGGAGGACATGAGAGAAAGACATCCCTCTAGAGCGATAAGAGAACAACCGACAGACATTTGGGGAGCATCTGCTCTGAGCGCAGTGCAGGTGTCACACAGTTGGGAGGACTGGACTCGAGATCACCCAGCCAGGGACCCGCAGTGTGACCTCAGTTTCCTCACCTGCACAAGGAGAGATCAGAGGAGTTGAGCCCTGAGAGTGCTTTCCATGCTGATGCCCTGGGAGTCCATGAAGTCAGGGCAGCTCTGGCTCAGGCCCAGGGAAAATAGGAGGTTTGGGGCTGGGCCAAGATGCACATCAAATTTTAGCTCAAAAAGCCCACCATGAAGGCAGATTCTGAAGGTCAATCCACACACACTAGCTGATGGAGCAGGCCCAATGGGGGACAGGTGGACAAGCCCACTGAGAGGTTCAGAGGCCAGCAGCCCCCTACTGTGAGGCACAATGCATGCATAAAGAAGAAGGGCCTTCCCAACAGTGGGAACAGTGTAAAGCAGCTCAGAGGCTCCCTCAAAGCCAGGAGGACCCCCAGAGACTATCTAGCCCAGCGGTACTCAAAGTGTGGTGCCTTGGCCAGCAGCAACAGCATCACCTGGACCTGCTGAGTCAGAAATTCTGGGGCTAGAGCCCAGCAATCTGTGTTTTAACAAAGTTTCCCAGTGATTCTGGTGCATAGTAAAATCTGAAGACCTCTGACCCAGCCCATTGTTTCCCAAACTATGTTGGTAGAACACTTATCTGCAGTAGTTTAATGCGTGCTCTGTAAAAGGAGGATCCATGGTCAAATAAGTTCGAGAATTACATGTTCTAGACTGCTTTTGGAAAGTCACAAATCACATTGGTATATTAAAGGCTCTGAAAAGTCCTGCAGTAAAGAGCTTTATCTATTTTTGATTAATCTAATGTTGTCTCAAATTGATTTTTCAGATGGCTTACTAACATTTCCATTAACACTCTCTTAGGGAAATACTTATCCAAATTAATCCTCATTTTTCACATGGGTAAATTACAGCCCAGAGGTGCAGGGATTGCCCAAAGTCACAAAGAGAGCGCATGCCAGAGCTGGAAAAGACCCTAGCAATATGCCTCATCTCAAAAGAAGCTCGCTCTGTGGCTCCTCACCACCCTGCACCGTCTTTCCCTCCATCCCAGCTGTATGTCCCTCCACAGCCCTGCAGTATGGAGCCAGTCAATAGGACAGAGGTTTCTGAGTTCTTTCTGAAAGGATTTTCTGGCTACCTAGCCCTGGAGCGCCTGCTCTTCCCTCTTTGTTCAGCCGTGTACCTGGTGAGCCTGTTGGGGAACACAGCCATCTTGGTGGTGAGTGTGTTGGACTCCCACCTGCACACGCCCATGTACTTTTTCCTGGGCAACCTCTCCATCCTGGACATCTGGTATACCTCCACCTTTGTGCCTCTGATGCTGGTCCATCTCCTATCAGCCCGAAAGACCATCTCTTTTCTTGGCTGCACAATCCAGATGTGTCTGAGTCTGTCCACAGGCTCCACAGAGTGTCTGCTGCTCGCCATCATGGCCTACGATCGCTACCTGGCCATTTGCTGGCCACTCAGGTACCCTGTGATCATGAGCCACCAGCTCTGCTTGCTGCTGGCAGGAGCCGCCTGGGTCCTCTGTCTGTTCAAGTCAGTGACTGAGACAGTCATGGCCATGAGGCTGCCCTTCTGTGGCCACCACGTGGTCAGTCACTTCACCTGCGAGATCCTGGCAGTGCTGAGGCTGGCATGCGGTGACACGTCGGTCAACGAGGGCTTCCTGCTGGTGGGTGCCATTCTGCTGCTGCCTGTGCCCCTGGCGTTCATCTGCCTGTCCTACACACTTATCCTGGCCACCACCCTGAGGGTACCCTCAGCCGCTGGGCACCGCAAAGCCTTCTCCACCTGTTCGGCACAGCTGTCTGTGGTGCTGCTTTTCTATGGCACCGTGACCTGCATGCACCTGAAGCCCAAGAGCAGGGCAGTCAGCGTCTCTGACGAGGCCTTCACAGTCCTCCACGCCGTGGCCACGCCACGCCGAACCCTGTCGTCTACAGCCTGAGGAACAAGGAGGTGAAGGAGACTGCCAGGAAGGTGTGGGGCGGGAGACGGACCTCCAGGTGAGGGAGGTCGGGCTCTGCAGCTTAGTAGGCGAGGCTGTCACGTGCCTACGGTGAGGATGGGGCAGGGCACAGGGCTGCGGGTCTGGAATCTTCATCCCAGAAAGGCAGCACCAAGTCCCACTGATCCTGCCACAGACCAGCTCCTCACAGTCACCCCGCTGCCCGTCCCCAGGCCACTCCCGCCATCCCTCCCCGCGGCTTCACACCAGCCTCCGGGCAGGCTTGTTCCTCCTTCCAGTCTCTCCTCCCAGGGGTGTGTGATCGCATCACTCTCGACTGAAACCCTCAATGGCTCCCCACTGCTCTCAGGAAAAAGTGTAAGCTGTTTGGTGGGATATTCGAGGCCCTCACAAGCTGGCCCTGCTGGCCCTGACTAACCCCCAGGCTTCTGCCCCACAGACTCCCTCCTCACAGCCACACACACCGGCCAAGTATGAGGCTCAACATTGCCCAGCACTGCCCAGCTCTGGGCCCTTCTTGTTCTTCCCACAAGGTAGCCCCCACCCGGCACACAGCTCCACATGTGAAAGGACTGCCTGACTCTCAAGGCCCAGCGCGAATGCCACCTCCACCAGGAAGCCTCCCCACTTTGCTCCTCTCATTGTGCACCTCCTGCTTTATCTTCGACACGACTGTAAGAGCAGGGAGTGTTGGATTCCGCTCTGTCCCAAGGCCCAGTCCTGCCCAACCCCAGGCCCCACACAGGTTTCTGCAATAAAGAAATGAGCGCATTAATGTAGGGGTGATAATGGCAGAGCCTGGGGTCCTTCCCAAATCTAAGCAGAGCTGAGATGGAGTTCAGAGATGACAGGCATGGCCTAGTGCCCCTGGGAGGTGACAGTAGATGATGAGGCCCTGAAACCAAGATTTCCAGACCCGTCCAGCCACCAGGACCCCAGTCACCCCGAGCAGCCCTGGGCCTGGATTCCCCTGTCTCCTTTAGTGGCAGCAGCAGCTTCTGGCACTTCCTTGCCCAGCTTCCAGGCCTCGCCTGACTCAGGGGAGACTTGCTCTACCCACCTACCCCACCCCCTGGGATCCTGCCATAGCTGTCCCTTCCTAGTGGTCAGGCTCTTCCCAGCTTTCCTTTCTGAGAGCTCAGTCAACACACAGTGAAAAAGTACCCAGATTCACAGAGTATCAGTATTCCCTGCCCCCTTCGGCCTCAGTGGCACCACTTGTGTGATGGGAGAGCTGGGCTGGGCCTCCAAGCAGCAGTCCAGCTCCCCGGCCCCCGGCTGTCGGTCAGCACAGCCTTTGCAAGAGGCCTCAGTCCCCTCCCAGGCCCTGTTCCGCCTTCCTCTGTTGGCCAGAACAGAGGCACAGAGAACTGAAGCACAGGCCAGCAGCTCACAGCCTGAGAGGAGACCTGAGCTCTCTGACCGCTGACCAAGCCCGAGTGCAGGCTGCCAGCTGTGCACCTTCGAGGCCAGCACAGGGGTCTGGACCTTATCCCATGGGCACTGGTGGCTTACAGTCACATTTACTGTTAGAAAGGTTACCAATTAGATACCATTCTTCACCCATGAAATTGGCAAAGAATTTTTTTAAATGTCTTTCATTAGCCAAGATGCCATGAGGTAGGTAGTGAGCCATCCTGCTGGCGGGGATGGAGTAAATTAACATGAACTTCCTGCAAAGCAAGTTGGAAGCATGAACAAAGAGACTTAAAACGCCCAGAGCCTTTGACCCAACACCTCTACTTGTCGGAATTAGTCTAAGAAAATAATTAGAGGTGCAAAGATTTATATATAAGGATATTAACACAGCATTGATTACAGGAACAAAAAATTGTAAGAATCTTAATGTTCCACCACACAGGAATGTTTAAATAAATCCTGGTGGAGTCCACTGATGGAATGTGATGCAGCCACTAGAAATCTTATTTTTTGAAGAATATTTGAGGGTCTGGCCTGGTGGCCTAGAGTGTAAGTTCACGTGCTCCTCTTTAGTGGCCCGGCTTTGCAGGTTCGGATCCCAGGCATGGACTACACACCACTCATCAAGCCACCCTGTGGCAGATTGGCACAGGAAGATTGGCACAGATGTTAGCTCAGCGACACTCTTCCTCAAGCAAAAAGAGAAAGCTCAGCGACAGATGTTAGCTCAGGGCCAATCTTCCTCCCCACCCAAAAAAAAGAATATTTGATGATGGGAAATGTTCACACTGGAATTAATAGAAAAAAACAGAATGCATAACTTTGTATTCAGTGGGATCCCAGTTTTATTTTTTTAAGTACTTTTCTTATGGATATATGAATAAGTGGATATGTAGAAAATTCTGGAAAATTATGACCAAAATTAACCAACGGTTCTTTCCTCTGAGTAATGGGGTTATAGATAAGCATTGTTTTCTTAATTAATTAATTCCAATACCATCCAATATTTCTAAAATGAACGTGACTTTGAACTTAAAATGAACGTTATTGATTTTTAAGGAATGGAAGATCACCTGGCTCCAGGGTATAGCACAGATGAGAAGGGACCCCCGGCCTTAGGGCAGGAAGTGAGGAAGCTGTTGCCACAATCCAGGCACTGGATGAGGCCTGAACCAAGCGGGCGGTCACACAGACAGGGCGGGGCTGAGCAGTGTTTGGGATGGCCCCATGATTGCAGAGGTGGGTGAGGGAGGGAAGAAGACCGTGGCTGACGCTGTGTCCGCTTATTTGGGTGGACAGCGCTACCAGCCACTGAGGCACGAGATGGGGAAGTTAGGGGTGGTGATGAGTTTGTTCAGATGTGTGGAGTTCCCACACACACGGAGCGGCAAGAGGGCGCTGTTCTCTGAGCAGTTAGAAAATCAGTGGTAACATCTTTCCAGTGTTTTACTTTGACCCGCGTTCTTGACAAAAATTCCAAAAGATAAATCATAGTATAATGGGAAAATTTGCAGCAGCTGCTGCTTTGTTTAAGGCTGTTTTTTAGTCCCCAAACTGTGTCAGGTTGTCATTCTTTATTGTGAAGGAGAGGAAAGAGAAGGAGATGGAAGAGGAGACCTGCAGAAACCACGCATCTGACCAGCCCCTGGACTAACGGGCCTTCACCAGAGCTCAGGGTCCCAGCCTACACAGCAACTTATTTCCCTTGAACTTGCCTGAATCCAGGTCATCACAACAATCCTGCGAGGAGACACCCCATTTCACAGCTCAGGATGTCCAGGTCCAGGGCAGGGGAGTCACAGCCCCCAAGCCTCGGATCCAAGGGGCAGTGCTGGAATGAGACCCGCTCTTCAGACCCTCTGTCCAGGGTCTCTCCTGTGCCCACCTCACCTCAGCCAGGCCCTCCTGGGGCAGCGCAAGGACCTGGGGTCTTGAAGTCCCACAGCTGCCAAACCCGCAAACTTATACTGTATAGTTGCAGAGTTTAAACTTTAAATTGGGCAGGGACTACGAGGTCCCCAAGGGCAGGGAGCATGCGAGCCATGTGGCAGGGGACCAGGAGACCAGTCCTCAGGGCCTCAGCCCTGGCCCATCCCTGCACTGTGTGTCTGCTGGTAATGAACTCAGCACTTCCCTGCTGTGCTCTTGCCAGGCTCAGGCCAGCTCAGCTGCAGCCCACTCCGGCTACCTGCGCGCACGGATGCCACCGGGCCACAGGTAGGTGGTTAAGGAGAATCCATCTAGCATGTTCTATTTTCATGAAATCTTCCTAAACATACAAAAACAGAATATTTGCTTGCCTAAGGGGACATGATCATACTAATAATATCAGCTACCACTTATTGAATGTTCACCACGTGCTCGGCTCTATGCTAAGAGCTTTGCGTGCATCATTGCACTGGATCCTCAAAATAACCCCATGAAGAAATTCTATTCTTATCTCCACGATGCACGTAAGGAAGCTGAGGCTGAGAAAACCATTAGCAAGTGGCAGGTCTGGGCCCTGGGCCCCGGTTGGTCTGAGGCCAAAGCCCACACTCGCCTGTGCTGCTGCACAGCAAGGAGGTAGGGAAGCAGGAATCCCAGATCCAGGCACTTCAGGGAAATTCTAACAGGGGCTTGCTTCTTGTTATGCCCCTTACCTTTCTTTTAAAATAATTTGTGATGCCTAAAACAAGTATTAAATGGTTAAAACTAGATTTACCAGCCAATGAAATTGATATGATATTTACCTGTAATGTGGCCCTGGGTCTGCCAGACCTCAGGGTTGGAAGTTGCTAGAAAAATGTGAGGAAATGTTTTGGAGGTTACAGAGTACCAGAGACCACCTAATTGAATGGCTCCATTTCACAGAAGGAGAAACTTGACCAAGGTCATAGAGCAGAATCGGAACACAAGCAAGAGTCAAACCCGGCTCTCGGTCCCGGTCCAGGGCTCATCCCATGGCGTCGCCCCACCTCTCTGGATGTGGACAACCTGGGAGCAGGATTCGACAGTTATTCTCAGAGATGCTCAAGTCCCTATCACTCCGTGAAGCTGATTTACCAGGACATGGTGGAGTGGGACGTTGGCGGATAGATGCTAGGGTGGTTTTCTGAGTATATTGTGAAACGCCATTGTTCTCAAATGCAGATGTGCTGCTGAGCAATATTTCTGGTTCTCCTCCCTCTGGGTATGTGGTAGGATTACCCAGGCCAGTGGGTTGTGGACAGATGCGACACGTGTCACTTCTGTGTCAGAGCATTTAACTGCGGGGGTGAGAATCTCCAGTGAGTTCTTCCCAGGCCACAATAAACTGATGATGTTCAGATGGTGGAGCCTCCATCAGTCAGGGTCTCTGAGGGGAACAGAGACCTCTGAAAATCTACAATGGACACACAGCATGAGAAAGAAATAAACCCTTGACACAGTAAACCACTAAAACTACGAGGCTGTGTTACTGCAGCATGACCTACCTCCTCTTAACTGACGCCCCAGCCTAACAGCAGCCGCTCCCTGGTGTCCTAGCCTGTGCCTCTGCTGCTGTCAGTAACCTGGCAGCATAGTATTTTCTAGACACA